TCTTCTTCTTGTTCTTCTTTATTAATTTTTATTATTATATATTATTGAAGAAGAACATTTAATTAATATCTCCAATCATAAAATTTGCAATAATTTTAATTTGCATTTGTAATGAATGAAACTAATATAGTTTGATTTGATCTTCGTAATTTATCAGTATTGTACTGGAAGGGTAATAAAAAATTGTTGATTCTGTGAGATAAAATTTTATTAGATTTTACAAATATATTTAAACAATTACATATTTTCACATTTGACCTTTTTAGCATAATAAAATAGTTTAATTAAAGTTTATATGCAAATATAACGGTAATATTTACATATTTTGTGTGTGGTACGAATGGGTCTTCAGTAATTACATTTTATAGCTATAATTCCTTACAACGAATAAATAAGTACAAGAGGAAGTTGTAATGAATTTTAGAGAAGTAAAATTAGAGTAGAATATCACATGTACACGTTATTATAAGTCAGAGGCGTGTAGCCTTTATTGTTTTTTGAAACAAAGGCTGCGATTTTCCCATGGTTTTAAACAAGTGGTTCGTTTTTTCTCATGAAGGTCAAATTTTGACATTTACCATTCCATGTTGTACTTGCACGAGCGAGTTCCGATAAATATAATATGTTTATAATTTTTTGTTGTATTTCGTTACTCTTTTCTTTCAGTTATTCAAGCAAGAAACGCTGCGAATGTGGAAGCGGGTAGCAATTACGAATCGGAATCCCTGCCGAGCTACACGGTGGTATCGGGACTTCCCACATACGACGAAGCTTTGGAGCAGTTAAAAAAAATGAAAGAAAAGCTTAGAACTGACAGTCGCGTAGTGGACAGTAATCCCCAGCCTTGTACCACTCACGTACCCAGCAACCAAATAGTGTCGCGATTGTCCGTCACCGATCTCTTTCAGCTTTACAAAAGCAGCCCCCGTCCTGAAACAGTCTTCCATAAGACATGAGATTTATCGTGAAGACGGTTCTCTTTTTGTTCTCGAAACATGTACATACATATCTCTGTATGAGAAACAAGCGACTGCAACTCACGACCAAGTGGAGGCGATTAAAAATAAATAATGAAAAGTATATATGAAAAATATGCTTGATTAAAACAGGAATCGAATTGAATTTACATCGATTTTGATTGAATGGTTCCTTCCTTCACGTTCCTTAGTATTATCGCACGATCTGGCGAAGCTGACGAAGCCACTGTGTGGCGAAACGGTCGTAGTGGTTGTAATATTACACTTCTGCAACTTGACTTGGTCATTACAAGATTTTTTATCATTAATGCATTTACAAATACAATATATTTAGATGTAATGTAATTTTTCTATTAATTTTTCGATTTCTTTTTAAGTTCGACTCCAAATTGTATTATTATTTGATTATTGCATCACTACACATTAATTCCACTGCCAATATTTTATAACAATCTATAAAATAGCAACTTATAAAGAAAGTATTAAGTATTCATTAACAGGTTTTTTTTTCTTTACAATTTGATGAAGGCAGTATTCAGAATACATATTTAATTAACTATATTTTCGATAGAAACTATGTGCAGAATTGCAATTGGGTTCTGTTGAACCATGTTGAATCCTATGGTGCTCAAAAGTTTTAAGGTATAACATAAACTTGTAGCTATGCATATACCTAAGTATTAATGCGTAGGGATGACGTTTATGGCTGTGCTAATTGCTAAGTTAGTATAGGTACTAAATAAAACTGCAATTTACTGGTTCATTTTAACATTCTAAGTGTTTGTAGTGTATGTAGAACAATAAGTGACTGTTTGTGATAATTTATATGACGCTGGTCGTCTGTATGTATTATATTAGATAGGCTAGTCTAATTAATTTTAGTAAATGGTTTTTGTATTATTACTAACGCCAATAAATAACTTATTCGATTAATTAACGTGTGTTTTGTTGTTTGTTTCAATCTGGCCGCAGAGTTTATACCTATTCCAAATTTTAATAATCTCTGTCATAAATAAGCCCTTTCAGTCGAAATTAATTTGACGAGGTACTCGAGTAATCTGAATGAAACTTGGGGCAAAGAAAGACCTTAAATTAGATTAGTGTTTGCAAATAGCTCCAGTTTTAGGGAAATACGAAGATGGGCCCAGGGTAGGAAAGAGTGGAGGTGCGTGTTCATATGAAGATGTCAGTTCTACATCGATAACTTTTGACAAAATTTGCCCCATAGAATAAGTTTTTTTTTTAAGCAATACACACATAACTTATAAGTTGCAAAAGTCATTCAGGATTATTTTGTTTTTTTTTTTCTTACCAATTTGTCGCTTCCGATTTGATTATTTATTTTAATATTAAATGTATGTATTTTCTCCCTCAGTACACGTCGATTTATGTTACTTAAAGAATCACCAAATACGTGACTTTCGTTTGATTAATTCTAATTTTATTGAAGGCCATTATTAGGCATAATAACGTGTTAGTCTTTTCTGCTTTTGATTCTCTTTACATTAAAGAAATTATGAAGTGGTTATGTAATTCGTGCAACCGATGTCAATCTACACATAAATCATTAATTTTACACACTAGCTTAAGTAGTACACATATATATCATGGTAGACATACCAAGTGAGTTATTATTGTGTTAACATGTGCCAATTTTTTAAAAATATGCTTTATTAAACACCTACAGTTTGTCAGTAAAATAATAAAATAAATTGTGTACAAAATAAATTAAGTAATGAAAATATAACAACTGAAACTGTTATTCTTCAGGAATTGGTGATGTAGCTTTATCTGCTTCTTCAGCTGGTGGCGGTGGTGCTTCTGCTGGTGGCGGTGGTGGTGCTTCTGTTGGTGGTGCTGCTGCTTCCGCTGGTGGTGGTACTTCCGTCGGTGGTGGTGGTGGTGCTTGTACCACTGGTGGAGCTTCTGATGTTGGTGCGGGTGGTGGAGGAGCTTCACCTCCTTCTCCTACCTCTGTTGGAGACTCATCGCCACCCTCTTCCCCTTCTGCACCACCTTCTTCGCCACCTTCTTCGGGACCTTCTTCGGCTTCTGCGACAGACGCGGCTGTTGCAGCCTCTTCCCCTCCTTCTTTAGCCTTCTTCTTTTTCTTTTTCTTTGGTTTCTCTTCTTCGACAACTTCTTCTTCAATTGGTTCGTCGTAACCCTCGGGGAAGAATTTCTTGCATTCTTCTTCACCATCTACAACATTATTGCTCACACGGGTAGGGTTGACAGTTATGAAAGCTAAAACTGCTTCACTCTTCTTCTTTGAGAGCTGTATTACCAGCCTTTCTTCACTGAAACATATTCAAGGAAATTCATAAAATGCGATATGAAGCTTTATGTTCAAAGACTTACTACGTGGGAACTTTTTTGGCAAGTAATTGTTCGAATTTACGAACGTTTTTAGCGATGAGTTGCGCTTTATCGGGATCTTCTGATGTAAAGAAGCCATATCTTAAAACTTCGTTGGGATAATTCTCGACCAGTTCCAAAATTTCACGTCTTCTAAAGGCGTCAAACGCAATAGCAAGATGGGGAGGTGTAGGTTGGGGTTCTTCCAACGCGATTGAAGCATGAAGTTTCGGGAAGCAGTTCTTGATTATGAAAGCTCTCGTGTAACTATTCGGAGGAGCCCATACACCGGTAACGGGTGGTCCAAGTTCTTCTTCTTCGACTTCTTCTTCTTGTTCTTCTTCTACTGGTGCTTCTTCTTCATCTCCAAGTAATCCCAACCCAGGAAGACCGAGTGGAATGTCTCCTAAACCTTCAAATCCACCCTCTGTCTTTTTTTCCTTTGGAGGCGGAGGAAGTGGAGCGAAGAATTGTAACGCGGGACTGTCTGGATCACCGGGTGGCTGCTTTGAAAGACCATAAATTGCTTGCAGGACGACCTGATCAACTGGCGCTGGTAATTCTGCTACGCTCGGTTTAAGAAGAAGAATACTGCTTCTATCTTTGAGTAAAACTTCTACTTCTTCGTCGAGGAACGTCATTTCGGAAAAATATAGTATTTCTTCTATCATTTGTTCAGTTAGTTGTACCGGTTCTTCTTTGAACAAATTTATACCGTTTTGTTGTAGAGCGTCGGCCACAACGGGCTTGGCTTCAACTTTACATTGAGGAAAGAGAATCGCACATCCATAATCCGGGAAATTCTCCAAGCAATTTTCTGCAACTATTGTACGCCATTCCAGCTTTTGTTTCTCTCTCTTCGCTGTTTCTATCGCTTCGGCAGCTTTGATTATCTCTTGTTCGGCTTCCCAACGTTCCCTTTCTTCTCCAATGAATTCCTCGAATTCGTACATAATTCTCTCACGTTCGCCTTTCAGACAAGCCTCTTCCCTTTTTATTTCTTCAGCGATAAATTTGTTTAGTTTTGGCGCATTTGCTCCAAATGTGATACCAACCATTTTTCCACCCTGAAACCGTATCCGTGCAATAATTGGTTTTCGAAAAGTTAATTTATTAATGAATGTGTTACCGCCACAAACATCCAAGTGGGTTCACTTTTTCCTCGAAATCTCTTAAGGATTTCGATGTTTTCATTGTTTGCCTACAAAATTAACAAGAGTTTCATGTTTGTTCATGTGCTTTAGATATGGTTATTACAATGGCCATTTGCACTAAATCTCCACCAATTTCGAGCTTGACTTTTTTTAAGTTTGGTGCCATCGACGAGCATGGGCCAGCCCATTCTGAGTAAATATCGATAACTGAAAGATATTTATAAAATTTATCGTACAGTACTGGATTAAATGAATAGTTTTAGTAATTTCCTTCATAATTATTGTGAGTCAATCAAAACAATAACAATTAGAATCAATATTATGAATTTTAATCTCTACCTGTGTACTAATAACTATTTATATATCAAAATTATTAATAATTGAGTCATTATTGACGATGAGGTTTAATACAGGAATCATTTTATTTCAATGATTACATGTTGATGATAAATTTCAAAAAGGTAATTACTTACTAAGTAGACCTTCTCTAGCGATGAATTTTTCCCAATCTTCATCGCTGTTGAGTTCTGTTTGAAATTGTACTGCCTGGCCCTTTTTCGCCATTTTGACAGGTTCATCGGCTCCTTTAATAATCAAAGGCGTAACCAGGACAACGGAGTAATGACATAACACGGCGCTACCCTCGCGTTCAAGGGCTTCGTAATTACACAATTAAATTCATTTCACCTGTTTCACTTTTTACGCATATGCGAAACGGCCATGTGCCAGAATTTAAATTTTCTGGGTTGCCAGTCAATAAATTTACAAAATCGTCCAGGTGTTTTCCTTTTTCGATTTTTCTATGAAGCGACCTTGCTTCTTTCAGAAGACGGCTTATTCGTAAATCTTCTTCCTAATATAACATTCAATTTCCTTAATTAAAATTGTTTTAAAACTTAGTCAAAAATTTTAAGACTTCTAAAAATATGAAAAAGGCATATTTTCATGTACCAATTTAATTACTTTTGATAAAACATTGCTTGAAAAATAAGTAAATGACAAAATAGATAATCAGTTTCGATTTATTGGTTACCAATAGTAACAAGTTGGTTGACGTTCTATTTAACTGGTTGGCAGGACACCTTCTCAGGCATGAAGAGTCTGTTAGAGACATATTAGAAGCAGAATCAGGGGTTAAAAGGAGTAGAGGTTAATCTAGATAAGATTACTGTTCACAAACAGTTAAGGATGTGGGATGTTCTAGTTTCTAGGAAATGCGAATATTAGCTCAGGATAGGAAAGAGTGGAGGTGCGTGTTCAACCAGTCTTAGGACTGACGAACTGAACTTCTGCCGGATTATCTGATATTTTGAGTTAGTTATTACTTGCATTAAAATTGCTAAGAATATCCCTATTTAGTCTGTACTCGTTCGTATATTTTGTTCCTAGTCCATGAACAAATGAATAATAATTTTTCTGTTTTATCTATATGCATAAAGCTAGTTTTGACTGCAGATTCTTTAAGGTCAAAGTAAGATGCAAATCAAATTTATTCGATGAATAAATTCAGCTAAAAGTGTGAAATTCGACTTACATAAAAATCTCTTCTTATTACGGCCAGTTCGTTGCGCATTTCTGTCGTTTTATATCTGAGCTCCTTCAAATTATCACTCAGTGCCTGAATGGAATTTGTTTGTTTTTTTATTGTAGTGTTTTCGTTGTCCCTTGATTGAACTGAATCAGATTTATCCAATTTGTAGCAGCCAAAATCGGAAAATGAATTTTCTTCTTCAAATCCAGAATCCATGTTCGTAACCGGACATTCCTTAAAACTACTAGGCCAAATTTTGCCCGAAGGCATAACGGATGGATTATCTAACATTGCCAATTCTTCCATCAGAGAAAGGGTTTCTTGCTTGCCATCGTCACACACACAAAGGTTGTGAGAACTCATTAAACTCAAGGGCTGAAGGCTATGGTTATCAGTTATTGGATATTGACAATTGATTTGTCTCTGTTCTCGCTGGTGTTTTATCTTCTTATATTCCGTGTTGTTAACTATGGATAAAAGGATTTCCGATTGAAGGTTGTCTGGAGTTATGAGATTTGCGATTTTTTCTTTCGGAGGTATGCAAACGTCAATGTTTTTCAGTTGTGGAAAATGCCTTTTAGCTTTTACATTGTCGTCGGAGAATCGTCCCGATTCTACGAGCATTTCAGTTCCTTTTGTGGTCACTTTAATTTCTGGGACAGCGTGTTCTGGCCGAGAAAGCGTTTCTTCGGAACTTATAACAGGACAAATTTTCACTTGTGAGCAATAAACTTTTGTAATAAGTTCAGATTTGTCCGACTTTTGCCTATTTAACTTGTTTCGTAACATGGTAACCTTATTCTTTTCACTTTATTGCACTCTTATCTCCAGTATCATTGATTAGCACGACGCACTGTAATAAACGTTCTGCTGTGGTGTAGTTGCTCTAAATGAGGCACGACCAGGGGCTTCACTTCTATAATTCAATTTTGTTTACGTCGATAACTCCTCGCTTTCTGAAATGTAAAAATGGAGGTGATATTTAGGTAAATTTAAAACGATGATTGTAGCTAGGTAACACGTTCTCTACCTGTACGAAACTATATGCATACGTGCCAATTAATTTCTAAATAAACGCTAAATTAATACGTGCTAACGATAATAAAAACAGGTGTATCAGGAAAAAGTGTTGATCGCTTGGAGATAATGAAATGAGTCAGGCGAATCAAGTTAATTAGCATCACTTCCAATTACGTGTGTATACCTACAGGGTGTGTCGAAAGTTTTATCAGTCAGTACCTAAATTCTCACTTTTAAACACACTTTGGCTTGATAAGTAGTAGAAGTATTGCAAGAAATCGTTTACATTTGTAACAATTTCTTGTTTTCAAAAATTAATTATTAGTATAGTTGATTACTACAAATTATTAGTACAGTTGGTTACTATAACATACCACAGATTACAGGCTAAATTAATTAATTAAAATAAAAATTAAACTTTTATATTTTCTAAAGGAATTTGAACTTTGTCATACACATGAGAAAGAATTACCTATAAACGGCTCCATGACCGACTGTGTCAAATATTAACCGATACAAACATGGGATAATATGTCCCTCAGAAAATATTTTATGAAAACCAGTCCCTGGGTGTCTCAATACTTAATATTCAAAACAAATAATATAACTCGTGTTACTGACCCATATAAAAAGAGATTCCTCTTTGAGGTTTTAATCTGTAGGGTTTATTTTTTAAACAAAGAATTATAAGGCATAAGTTTTCTGAATATTTTTATTGAAACTCAAGATTAAATAAATTCTCTTGTTTTAAATTAAAGGGTTATACAGCAGATAAGACTGGCACGACAAAAGGTACTTACGAGAAGTTTCCGGAAAAATCAGAAATATTCCACGATCGTATAAATAAGTGACCAGGATGTAGTTGACACGAAATTATTAACTAATTATGTTATAGTTGTCATCTTACGTAAGATTGATGGTATCCCCTTCGATTAAGACAGTAAAAATAAGAAACAAAATTGAATCTCTCATCACCGTACGTCTCGTTACGTCACATTTGAATGACTTCTTTAGCAAAGTAAACAGTAGACACAAAGTTCACTAAAGTTTACTTCACAAAGTCTGTTACGATAATTGACACTTAATGCCCAGTTATTGTGTTTGATTTTCGTTTTAGATTAGACAACAAGATATTATTTTATCGAAAATAAAATTTAATCGTAAAATGCGTTTGATAAAAACTACTTGGAGACGGTCTCGTGGTACCAAGGTTTGTACTTGTAATTTGTTCTACAGGTGTGTTGGTATTCGAGACCATCTTAGGTTACGACAACTTTTTGTCTTATCGAGGGGCTTATGCATTTTTTTTACACTTTTTTCCCTCTCATGGTATCAGTTAAACCCTAAAACCTCGGGAAAATATAAACATTGAAATTAATNAGTAATATAATACTCAATGCTTAGCGTGTGAAATATAGGTGAATATAACTAGCGTTAATGATCACAACAATTCGATAAAATATCATTCTTGAGCAGGTAGTACCTACATGACAAAAAATAGCTTTCCCGCTACTAATGCGTACATACTTCAGCTAACAAGCCTTCAGCTAACGACAGCAAATGTCGTATTTTCTTTATATTGTATAATGGCAATAATCTTTATGTTTGAATCTATAAAACGTCTAGTTGAACGAACTCCGACAGTATCTAGTTGAAAGCTAAGTGAAAATACGGATACTTACAAGGAACTAGTCGAGCTCGCGTTCGTCGACTTGGGTACGTTGTAAAATTGGTCTCCACAAAAAGCTCTTTTATTTAAATACTAATATACAACTTGTGCCTACCCCTAAGGTCCATTTCAACTATTGGTGAAAGAATTTAGTGAATTTTTAAATTAATATTTAATTTATTATCTAACCAGTAGATGGACGTAGTTTTTAACTTTTCGAATTTTATTTGCGCTAAATCTAACGCAAAAGATTTAGATATTACAAAAAATTAAACAATAGATATCAATTAATATGTATAACTCAGACCAAGATAATTATGGTCTATATGGTCTCTGGTGTATGGTCTTCTATATAGATATTAGTCTTGGCCTATTTATGTATTGGTTTTGGAAGATGAACTTTAGTTAAAGTAACTTTTTTTTATGATTCTTTTATATTTAAGTTTTAAAACATGATTTCCGTAAAATGTAGATCTCTTTCAAAATAATACTTTTAATTTGATAGTAACCCCAGACAGTTGAATTACATTTGAAATAATCTTGTAATAACGGTCATTTAAATATACAAGTTACAAGCATATGTAGGCCAGTGTTATTTAAACAGCAATAATAGTAATACTAATGTTTTGGTTTTCATAAGACAGATAGTAAAGACTTACACGATAATTTTTATTTACAATGTAAAGTAATAAAAATAAAATTAACTTGGACAGATGATAAAAATAACTAGATACGCATTTAATAAAGTTACTTTATATAATTTAAGTTAATGTTTCTCCAACAGTTCTGTTTATTAATTTCATCAAGCGTTGATGTAAACCAAAGGCATCTGGGATAATTTACCTTTACTAATTTCTTCAGAACGGTTATTAAGTAATCATTAAATTTTGATGAACAGAAAGGTATCGCACACCATGGAAAAAGTTATATTTAAAAACAATTGCACCTTATTGGTGGCTGTTTCCAATGCCCATGGTCGCTTTTATCTAGGAAAATATGTTAACTCGTTTGGTGGTACTTTTAATGGTTTAGAAAAATTCTACAAGTCCATATAAATATAAAATGTATACTTATTTATTTATTTAATCTGACAGTACCAAAATACGCACATACTTGACCCTAATCACTTGACCCGCTGCCACAGCAAGCCGATTTAAACAAAAACGTAAAGTGTACGACTTTCTTCACCAAATAACTGAATATTAAGTACTTTAAAATATTTCCTATAAAAACATATGTATAAAGGAAAAATTGAAAGAGATGTAGTTTATTTTGTTTCTAAAACAATATTAGGTAGACCAACAACTGTTTTAACTGTAGGGCTTATAGTATCAGTTATTTTTAGATTTTATTATTGTAATTTGCAATCTTATGTTGGTACGTATTGTAATTCCTTTTATATGGAAAACTAGTGTACAAACCGTTAAAAATCGAATTTATCAATGGCGATACTGATGTCATTCACTTTCTGCAGTGACACAAACACAAACACATTGTCCGTGGCACTAGACCAGCACCGATGGATTGATTGAAACAAAATAAGTCAATAAACTGATACAGAATGCCGGTCTGCTGTGTTAGTGAGTGTAATTGCGAAACAATTTATTATGGACGATGTAATTTGAACTGCGTTTGGAAACCAACGATTGGTGTGCCTTGATTTGCCGTCAGGATGAGAACAGATAATACAAGTCGTTTTCTGTTTCTCTTCATCTCATTACGTTCATTTAGGATTTTGGAAATGTCACATTTTAATTTTTTTCTAATTCGAATACTTTTTTTGCTATTTGTATTTATTCAAACTTTTTAAGTAGATTTTCTCCATTTCTCTAACTGGATTCTAGATCTGAATCTGGATCTATTCCTACTTTGTCTTCGAATTAATTCAAATTTCTTTTAATTTTCACCGGAAAAAAAGCAGTTGTAGCGATACTTACTGACTCCAGTTTTTATACGGAACTATTAATACCATATCACTAAGGCATTTACGTCAGTATTATATTATGAAAAACAGTAAAACAGCGGTAAGCTTAGGGTAAGGCTACGGTAGCATAAGACAGCACGAACGAAGGGATCATCGTAATCTGTGATTATAACGGTTATTAGCGGTGATGTTGACTAATTAGACTGACATATTTCGTGACTGTGACTGAATATTTAATCTATTTATTTGCAATCATAAAATAATAACAAAAAATATGTGTATAATTTACTTTCCGAAATTTGAGATACTTTGAATTTTTGTGCGTAACAAATCAATGAATTTTTAACGTGATGCTTCGAATAACCATTTAATAAATGTTCCTTTTTTTGAGTAAAAAATTTCACTTAGTCGGTATTGGTGAATAACGTACCTATAATTATGCAGTAATTAAAAATCAATCAGCGAGTATTTATTATAAATAGACATATGTAAAGCGTTAATGATCACAACAATTCGATAAAATATCATTCTTGAGCAGGTAGTACCTACATGACAAAAAATAGCTTTCCCGCTACTAATGCGTACATACTTCAGCTAACAAGCCTTCAGCTAACGACAGCAAATGTCGTATTTTCTTTATATTGTATAATGGCAATAATCTTTATGTTTGAATCTATAAAACGTCTAGTTGAACGAACTCCGACAGTATCTAGTTGAAAGCTAAGTGAAAATACGGATACTTACAAGGAACTAGTCGAGCTCGCGTTCGTCGACTTGGGTACGTTGTAAAATTGGTCTCCACAAAAAGCTCTTTTATTTAAATACTAATATACAACTTGTGCCTACCCCTAAGGTCCATTTCAACTATTGGTGAAAGAATTTTTGAAATCAGATGATTAGTTTCCGAGAAGACGAAAACCGCATGTAATTGTTTGAAAAAATAAGGATCATGTAAAAGCGAATTCCTCTGTATACCTAAATATAAAGTACTTCCATGTGTTTCTTTTGGTATAATCTTTCCTGTAGAATTCAAGAACGGTTTTTTGATTCGGTTATCACATTAGGGTAGGTACAATTATCTTCCCGATAGTGGAACCATATTAGTAAGCAACCTTCTTACTGGTTCTCTGGTTTTCTTAATACCATGCTGTGTCTTAAGTGTTTAATTATTAATGTTTTTTATACTAGTGGAGAGATTGATTGAAATTTTATAAATTGTGCATTTGTATATGGAAAATGGAATTTCAGTCACGTATTAGTCATCATTTTAACTAAAGCTGCTGAAAATAATATTTGTTTTAAAATTTTCGTACTTTTCTATTTTGTAGGTGCTTTTTCTTCTTCAGTTATAAATTTCAAGTCAAAAAAATCATCGGCGTACATCTGCATTACAGCATACACTTACGTTCTATTACTATCGGTGCACTTATTAGATAGGCGCGCATTTTTGAGAGCCTATCTTTCTGATAATAATCGCAGTAGTTATAGGTAAAACTATCTCATGATAATGCATCCAACATTAGCCTCGAGCATAAATTAGTGAATAGAAAATTTATATAAAATATGCAGATTGAGTTTCACTTTGTTCGAGACTGGTATTGGTTATTTTCTGTTGAAATATGCTGGGTACTTTTATTGTGTTTTTTCTTGCATAGGAAATGTGCGGAATCATCTTGAGAGGGTCGATATGGAAAATGAATAATCGCAAATTTAAGGAAAACCATCGCAACAACTATAGTGAAAAGTATATAATTGACGCCATATTTGTCGTAATCAGTCATTAAATATCGTCCTATGGAAAACGTAAAGCATAAAGTTAACGATAAACATTAAGTGCTTCAGTAAAGTTTTCTTCTTATCGCTAGAGTAAGTTCACTAACGTTGATGTTTTCTTAAAATTGCTTCTCTTAGGTCAGTGAGGAATATGTTATAGTTAACAATGGTAAAATAGGAAAAATTAAATTTTAGACTGTTAATTTTGTTTTATAGCTAAAATAATATTGTAGTATTTGGTGTTTAAGAAGTTTAAGAAATTGAGGAATTAAAATTTACAGATTAAAAATTAGTTAGTTGAAATCATATAATCTAGGTACGAAAGTTTGCTGATGATGAGTGTAATACCTTGAAATAACGGTAAAAGTATGTGTGGCATCAAATTTATCAAAACCACAGTATGCAGTATGACAACTGTTACTGTCGAATACGTTTTTATTTTTTTACGAAAACTGCTTACTTATGCTGTTAATTCACGGAATATTTCTATGTCGTACACTATCTAGCAAGTCTACATTTCTTTATACCGTTTCAGTAAATGATTGTCATAATTCATAGAGGAATGCAGTAAATGAAACCATACGAAAGCGAAAAATTTAGACACATAGTAGGTATGTGTTAGATATGTATATATATCAGAATATTACATTAAAAGAAAATCAATCAATATCGCATTAACTGTCGCCTGTTATTTGTACTATCGTTTGTGGAAAGTAAAAATGATTTGTAGTGAAATGGTATATTTATAACAAATTGCTTCTAACCCCTATTTCCTGTAAATAAATATGTTTGTTTAAAATATTTACATAACTACAATATAATAGGCAATTAAAATCACACTTATTTTATTAAAAGTGTGTAAAAGTGTATTAATAAAACTAATTAATGGAAAAAAATAAAGTAGAATATTATACGTAAAACTCGATCGAAATATACTGTCGAAACGTCGTGGGAAGTTATAAGTCTCATTGGGTTTTATAGCCAAAATTCGTCCAACGAAATTAAATTTCTATTTTTTCTTAGGACTTATTGATGTAGAATGATTATGTTTTTAACTTACTACAATAGCAGCAGAAATTACTTATAAAATAGAATAAAAAGGAAATGAAATTAAATTTATTGCTAATAAATTTTCATGGAAATCCTTAAACCAAGTGTCTTCGGCAGAGTTTAAAAATATACCTACTTATCGTTAGTAAATTGTACAACTGATATCACCAGTAAAAATATGCATAAAGGTATTGTTTTTCTTCTTTTCTATATGTACCTAAAGCAGACGTAGTAGAGGATATTCTCAGCCATGAAAAATCAAGTTTGCATTTTTTGTGTCCTTCCCACACAAGTTTCCAAGTTATCAAGGTCAAAAAGAAATTCACAACCAAAGCATCCATTACATTTCCAGTAAAGTAAACCGATTAGCTCTTTTACCATCTCACATCAATGTTACATTATGCAGAAACAGTCGATGAATATAAAAACGGCAGCCTATCAGCTACTTTGTCTGGCATTGAACTCACTTTCATGTCGCAACATTCATTATTTTTGCCATTCATATACACACTCGCAGTCAATGTTTTCTGTGTTTTGCAGAGTCAACCACATTTTGTCATTAATAATTAAACCGAGGAAGTTGTTTTTATATCTTTGCGAAATTGTTTTATTAGGTTATTGTATGGTATAAAATGAATTTGTGATTAGAAATAAATAATCAATAAAAACGGTGCTATTTTCAAAACTTTTAGCATTATTTGGTTAGTTCCCGATGTCCCGAATAAGTCAGGGAACCTAGAAAACTCTAGAAATAATTTTGAATATGAATGTTACTGTTACCTTTAGAAGGTATTAAAAATGAATTTAAAAACATCGTGAACTGATAGTTTTATGATAACAGCTCAACTTTAATTTTCGGTTTAATTTATTACACTCACTAACAGTTTAATTATAGTTATACAGACAGTTATTTCTTTCAAATATTTGGCAATTTGTCAAATAGTATACCGTTTCGATTACTTTACCGGAATGAAATTAAGACTTACCTGTCGAACACAAAATTGAGTACCAGCATACCTGCTAGAGGAACTTAACTGAAAGTCGATGGTAAGCCAGCAGGTGTTTTGATTAAGACGTCGCACTAGCAACTGAAGTAAGTACCTGCAACATAACTGAAAGAGCGATTTGAGTTTGGTATGTTTTGCGGAAGGAAAAGCGAATGGTTCGTGGCCCCGTGGCCCATCGGAAACACTTGGCCCACTAAGGTTATTATCGGCCACTCTTCATTGATGATTCGGGAAAGGATTTCACCTATAGTCGACGGCATTATAACTAAGAACTTTCTCAAACTAAAATAGAATTATCTCGTCTTTCGTATAAAATGTAGGATTTGTTTTTACCCCACGACTTCATCCGCAGGAAAAAGAGGAGCCTGGTTCAGTTTGGACAATCACCTTTTCATATATGTAAAGTACATAGACATGTACAGCAACTATTGAACCATTTGAAGCCAATATGACAGACAATAATAAGAGATGCGTGGAATATTCACATTTGAAATACGTTGAAGATAAGATGTGATTGCGGTTTTTTATAAAAGAAAAGCAGTTGTAGTTTTTCAAATTTAACTAGACATAGGAGACCACTGAAAGACGTTGCACCCTGTATTTTTTATTTTTAGAACATTTAACGATATAAAATCTTATATAGTATTGCAAGAAGATATTAGTAATTGTTTTACGTGAAACTAAT